ACACACACACACACACTCTCTCACACACACACACAAAACAAACAAACAACAACAACAACAACAACAACAAAACCGGGGTGGGGGGGGAGAGGAAGATATAACAACCACAATTATTTATTTTATTTTATTTTTTTGAAGTTCTTACAACAAGCAAATGGAGTGGACACACTTGGGTGGGAGGGGGGAGATGGAGGAGGGAGGGAGGTTTCGGTGATGGGACATAATAATCATCTACATTGTATATTGACAAAATAAAAAAAAAAAAAAGAATACTTGGAGCTAAAAAAAAAATGTGCACAGGAGAGGAATAGACACTTTTCAAAGGAAGACATACAAATGGCCTACTGTTATATGAAAAAAGTGCTCAACATCACTAGTCATCAGAGAAATGAAAACCAAAAGCACCCTGAGATATCATCTCACCCCAGTTACAATGACCATTGTTAAAAAGAACAAGAACAACAAATGCTGGGTAGGATGCGGGGGAAGGGGACCTCTTCTACACTGTTGGTGGGACTGTAAATTAGTGGAGCCATTATGGAAAACAGTATGGAGGTTCCTCAAACAATGCAGATATAACTACCATATGATCCAGCAATCCCACTACTGGGGATATAGCCAAAAGAATGGAAATTGTAATGTCAAAGGGATACCTGCACTCCCATGTTCATTGAAGCTCTATTTACAACTGCCAAGATATGGAACCAACCTAAATGTCCATTGATGGATGACTGGATAAGGAAAATGTAGTATATATAACAATGGAATACTACTCATCTATAAAAGAAGAATGAAATTCTTCCATTTGCAGCAACATGGATGAGTCTGGACAAAATTATGTTAAGTGAAATAAGTCAGACAAGGAAAGAGAAATACCGCATATTCTCACTTATAACTGGGTGCTAAGAAAGAAAGAAAAAAACAAAGACCTAAACAATTCCTTGAACTTTCAGAATATTAACCATGGGGGTGAGGCGGGAAGGAGGGGCGATTGTTGGAGGGATAGGTTGCGTAAAGAGCATAAAGATTTATGATTTTATGATAATATGATAATATTATGATTGATAATAATATGATTTATAATAATAACATGCTTATAATATATAATTTTTTAAAAAGAAAGATGTAGAAGAAGGTATAATTTGAATATGAAATTCAGAGTTTATGTTGTGCATTTGGGATTCCTACATCCTTTTTCTGGTTCTCAAAAGGATGTGACTGTCCAGCTGCTGTGAGCATGTCTACCACCCATCCACCTGACATTCAATGTTGTCACATAAAGAAATTTGTATCTTTAATAAGAACAGTGAGGGGGATCTCATAAGAGGAAGGACTCATATCAGTCCTCAATGGCCTTTTGAGATTTGTTCACACACAGGGGCAAAATAATCAACCCTTTAATATAAATTCATGTATTTTAATTCCACTCATCGAATTATAAAGTATTCTAAGTAATAATAATTTTTTTGTTAACTGATAATGATAGACACCTAAATTTAATATAGCAAATAATGTCATTATCAAATGACAGGAATTTAGAAAAACATCCTAAAATTTAATTATTAATTTTACTCACTCTAGAACTTTCTTACACTATTATAGAAACCAGGTTGAAGATATTTATCAGAATTCCCTCCAATATAAATCTTAAATTCAAGTAATAGTATACAGTGAAAATAAGGATCATTTTAATCTCAGTGATGATATGAAATTTCTTTTAAGTTCTGTTATAATCTGGCTGTGACTATAAAGAAAAGGCTCATTGACTCTGAAAGCAAATTACCAATTAAATGGTTTTAGCTTCTTCTCCTTGAAGTCTCCAAAGAATATAAATTTCCAACCACTGCCTCTAAAGCATATAAATTTCCAACCACTGCATAATAACTGATATCATAGCTTTTAACAAGCATTTACCTAAGAGCATTTGCCATCTGTCGACTTTTATACTATTGTGTTCAACTAGTCATTTTGAGAAAAGTAACCATGCAGATTTTAACAGCACCAACGTATATGTGAATTTCCTGTAGAGCGGAAAGAATCTCCTCTGAGCAACTGAACCAAACCAGGCTTTCATTTCCATGCTTCATAAGTGCACTATTGATCAGGTATGTAACTGAATTTATACTTAGTGAATCTTACTGTAACATCTTATATCCAGTTTTCTCTCACTTTCTCTAAAGCAGTCATTCTTAAAGTGTGGTGCCTAGAACAGCAGCATGAGCAGCATTAAAGAACTTGCAAAAAATGAACATTCTCAGGTTCTGCCTCAGAACTGAATCACACTCTGGAGTGGAGCCTATATATGTGTGTGTCAACAACCTTGCAGGTGATTATAATTTAGGCTAAAGTCTGAGAAACTATACTCTAAAGCAAAACAATGTTCTCCTGCTGTAAGAAAAGTTTTATTCCTGACTTTGAAGCAGTATATTTTGTCAAGTCCTTTGTCTCCAAGTCTAAGATGCTATCATACTTTACATCATATACAAGTGCACTTAACACATGGTACCAAATTTTTAAAATTTTATTTAATAAAGGTTTTAGAATAAGGCATATCCTCAATACATGTTAAAACATTGATGTGTATTTAACTGAAAGTTTGGAAAAAGAATTATGACTAATTAAAGCAGTAGAATATTACAGAGATAAAAATGAATAATATCTCTATAATTTCAACAGATTTTTCCTTATAATCATAATCAAAGAAGATAGGGCTGATTCTAACCTTTGCCTTCAGCATTTTCTGGGCCTAGAACTTGTTCTTTCTATACAAATAGAGCCATGTCTACTTAACGAATGAATGAGCAGTATAAATAATAGGTATTTCTACACAATGGCCTTCAAAAGAAAACTGATGAGGTTATCTTAGAAAGGAGCTGGCTTATTTTGCCAATAACCTTTGTGATGTGGCCTGTATCAGAAAAGCTAAAGAGAAGGCCTGAAAAAATAAAGAGAAGGAAGGAATTTTATTATGTACACCTTAATTGCTACATACATACATAATAGATATCAACAGAAACCTCTGGGGCTGGTCAGTTAGCTCAGTTGGTTGGAGGCAGTGTTGTAACACCCAGGTCTAAGGATTCGGATCCCCATACCAGCCAGGGGCGGCCATTAAAAAAAAAAAAGGAGAGGAAAGCTTTGGGCAAAACAACATGTTCTCCTATGTTCTCCTCCTTTCTACCACACAAAAAAAGAAAAGGAGTCAGGTTTATAGTACAGTTTATAGCATAATTTTGATTAAATAATTACTGTTTAAAGATTTTTCTTAATTCCATTTTAACATGGTTCATTTCCTATTATTATATGCATCATAAGGCTGTGGGGCTTGAATTTGCCTGTTTCCCTTAGCAGTTTAGGGAAGCCCACATTTGGGGTGTGAGGTAACTAAAGTAGTGTGATTCCCACTTTAAAGCAGATTTCTCACTAGAATGCTAATCTTTTGAGAATTTTTAAAATTTAGGAAAAGAAAATACTTTTATAGAACAACACAGAACTTGCACAAATAATTCATTTCACGAATGTCACTCATTCTGGAAAAAAAAACACATTGTAGTCTTTTTTAAAAATACTTAAAGACAACGATAGACTTACATTTGTCAAGTACTCAGTTACATTAAAAGTGATATCATGCTAAGAAATAAGAAATTTTATTAATAAAATAATTTGGTTAAAGTAAATAACAGAGCATTTATAATAAATTCATCTTCCAACATCTAGCTAAACCCATTATATCAACTTCACAAAACTGTTCTAATCTAAATATATTCACATTAGAGAAAATTTAAATGTCATACCTGAGACTGTGCATTAATATTGGCTCCTTCCTTAACAAGAACTTTGACAACTTCTGCTTGTCCAGCCAAAGATGCAATGTGAAGAGCGGTATTTCCCTTCTGTTTTGGAGAAACAAAATACAAAATGTTAGAGGTTTCCAAATTTTGTAAAAATCAAAATGTGTAAGTATTTTCAACTTTGCTGATTCCTTCAACTGATTAAAATGTGTCATTTTATCAAAGCAGTTGCCCCACTTTGTGAAGGGATTATTTTTCATCATCAAAAACATTGGCCATCTCAGATAGTGTTCTTTTCTATCTTTTGCAATACCGGTGGAGGGTTAAGAACACACAAAGACCGAGTTCTTAATGATTCAAAACATTGGCAATGTGTTTGCTTGTGTGCCCAACAATATCTCATGAGGCTCATGGTATTTAGTCAAGAACTAAAGAGTCCTAGTTGCAAGGAAATATGAGTTAAAAAAAAAAAAAAAGTTCACTGAAACATTGAGTTTATTTCACCTTTCAAGGAAACCTAGGGATTTTCAGTGGTAGAGAAACTGACTTAGCTCACTGTTGTGTTTCCAGTCATTAGGGCACATCGTTGCTGCTCAAAATATTTTAGGAATGAAAAAATAAATTTTACATGAATCGTAATGTTACCAATGATTTCTACTATTTGCTACATCAAAATTTTACTGTCTTCAACACCAAACACCAATGAAAAATAATTTAAACCTCTCATGAAAATAAAATATAGGCCAATAGATTAAAAAGTACCTGTGATGTGATTAAAATAAATAACAAAAAAGAAATAAAAATAAAAAACAGAAACCTGTAGATTCCAAGCCATAAAGTTTGTACTTTAGTTCTCTTTTTACCACCAGCTCACCATAGACCCACTCACTTAGTATTTGAGGAGCTCAGTTTTCTTATTTTTAAATGAGATATTTTTTTCTGGAAAATTCTACAACTATAATCTATAATTAAAAGTAAACCTATATTGAGCATTTTTTCATATGTCTGTTGGCCATTTGTATATCTTCCTTAGAAAAATGCCTACTTAGCTCTTTTGCCCATTGCAACATCACTCAGCATCCGGGAAATGCAAATCAAAACCACACTGAGATACCATTTCACCCCAATTAGGATGGCTAAAATCCAAAAGACTCTGAATGATAAATGCTGGCGAGGTTGCGGAGAAAAAGGAACTCTAATACATTGTTGGTGGGACTGCAAAATGGTGCAGCCTCTATGGAAAATGGTATGGAGGTTCCTCAAACAATTGTAGATAGATCTACCATATGACCCAGCTATCCCACTGCTGGGAATATACCCAAAGGA